AGCTCAGTGACAGCTCCCTGAGTGAGTGAGCTGAGAGCGGAGGGTAAGCGCACCCCTGTGCTGGCAATGTTGGCAGTGCAGGGGTGCGGTGGGGTGGGGAAGGCAGACACGGCAACAGGAAGTTAAGGCCCCACAGAAAGTGGCTCTGCCGCCCTCCAGCCTCAACTCCCATTCCTCTCTCCCTATTCACAACACCCCAGTCCTACTGGCCATTTTTTAATTCCTTGAGCTCTCTAAACACCTACCCACCTCAGGGCCTTTGCATCTTCTATTCTCCCTGCCCAGACCGTTCTTCATACCTTCACGTAGCTAATTCCTACTCTACTGTCAAGTCTCAGCTTAAATGCCATCAAGTGCCTGACACAGAGTAAGTGCCCAATAAAGATACAGATTTTCAGCAAGGTGCAGTGGCTCATGCCAGTAATCCTAGCACTTTGGGAGGCAGAGGCGGGTGGATCACCTGAGGTCAGGAGTTCAAGACCAGCCTGGCCAACATGGTGAAACTCCGTCTCTACTAAAAATACAAAAAATTAAAACAACAACAACAACAAAATACAAATACAAACAATTAGCTGGGCACGGTGGCTGGTGCCTGTAATCCCAGCTACTCAAGAGGCTGAAGCAGGAGAATTGCTTGAACCCAGGAGGTGGAGGTTGCAGTAAGCCGAGATCACGCCACTACCCTCCAGCCTGGGTGACAGAGTGAGACTCCGTCTCAAAAAAAAAGATATAAATGGCCGGGCGCGGTGGCTCAAGCCTGTAATCCCAGCACTTTGGGAGGCCGAGGCGGGTGGATCACGAGGTCAAGAGATCGAGACCATCCTGGTCAACATGGTGAAACCCCGTCTCTACTAAAAATACAAAAAAAAAAATTAGCTGGGCATGGTGGTGCGTGCCTATAATCCCAGCTACTCAGGAGGCTGAGGCAGGAGAATTGCTTGAACCCAGGAGGTGGAGGTTGCAGTAAGCCGAGATCACGCCACTACCCTCCAGCCTGGGTGACAGAGTGAGACTGCAGCTCAAAAAAAAAAAAAAAAAAAAAAAAAAAAAAAAAAAATAAAAAAAAAAAAAAAAAAAAAAAAAAAAAGATATATGTTTTCAGTATACATTTATATAATATATATATATTGTGTCTCACTGTTGCCCAGGCTGGAGTGCAATGGGGCAATCACAGCTCACTGCAGTCTTGGCCCCCCAGGCTCAGGTGACCCTTCCAAGTAGCTGGGATTATAGGCACAGGTCACCATGACTGGTTAGTTTTTCTATTTTTGGTAGTGAAGGTATTTCACCATGTTGCCCAGGCTGGTCTCTAACTCCTGAGCTCAAGTTATCCTCCTGCCTCGGCCTCCAACAATGGTGGAATTACAGGCATGAGCCACCAAGCCCCACAGTTTTCAATATACATTTTAAAAATATACTATTATTGGCTGTGTGCAGTGGCTCAGGCCCATAATCCCAGCACTTTGAGAGGTTGAGGCGAGTGGATAACCTGAGGTCAGGAGTTCGAGACCAGCCTGGCCGACATGGTGAAACCCCGTCTCTACTAAAAATACCAAAAAAAAATTAGCTGGCTGTGGTGGTGTATGTCTATAATCCCAGCTAATGGAGAGGCTGAGACAGGAGAATCACTTGAACTTGGGAGGTGGAGGTTGCAGTGAGCCAAGATTGAACCACTGTGCTCCGGCCTGGGCAACAGAGTGAGACTCCATCTCAAAAAAACAACAAAAAAAGATGAATAAATAAATAATATAATAATAACAATATGTTATTATCATCCCATTTCACAGATGAGAAAACCGAAGGCCAGAGAGGTTACAATTTTTGCCCCAAAACCCACAGCTAATAACTGTTTGCAGAAACAATAAATATGTTGATTAAACAATCAAAGTGGAGTTTGAAAGCGTGACTTTGATGGTTTCTGGGATATAGATAAGGCTTCCCTGTGGAAAAATTTGTCCTGAGGTGATTGTGTGGGCTGCCTTCAGCCATAAGATCAAGGCCTGCTCCCTCCAAGAAGCCACCTGAGGTTTGGAGGTCTGTTTAATACAACTCTTAACAAAGCAGGAATTCACTCCACAATACTTCATTCCCTCCTAACATATTGGGAAGCTCATTAATTAAAACAAAAAAGCGCTCTCCTTCAAAAAAATACAGACATGACTTGGCACGGTGGCTCACGCCTGTAATCCCAGCACTTTGGGAGGCCAAGGCGGGAGGATCACGAGGTCAGGAGTTTGAGACCAGCCTGGCCAAGATGGTGAAACCCTGTCTCTACTAAAAATACAAAAATTAGGCTGGGCGCGGTGGCTCACGCCTGTAATCCCAGCACTTTGGGAGGCCAAGGTGGGCAGATCACCTAAGGTCAGGAGTTCAAGATCAGCCTGATCAAAATGGTGAAACCCCATCTTTAAAAATAAATAAATAAATAATAAATAAAATTTAAAAATTTAAAAAATAATAAAAATACAAAAATTAGCTGAGTGTGGTGGCGGGCACCTGTAATCCCAGCTACTGAGGAGGCTGAGGCAGCAGAATCATTTGAACCTGGGAGGCAGAGGTTGCAGTGAGCTGAAATCACACCATTGCACTCCAGCCTGCTTAACAGGGTGAGACTCCATCTCAAAGAAACAAAAGACAAAAAGCACAGACATTTCACAGAAGAGATGTAAATGATTCAAACAATCCATAAAGAGATGTCTGACTTCACTTGTCATGGAAGAAATGCAATCAACAAGAAGGTATGTTGAGGCTGGGCATGATGGCTCACGCCTGTAATCTCAGCATTTTGCAGGTGAATCACCTGAGGTCAAGAGTTCGAGACCAGCCTTGCCAACATGGTGAAACCCCATCTCTACTAAAAATACAAAAATTAGCTGGGCGTGGTGGCGGGCACCTGTAATCCCAGCTACTTGGGAGGCTGAGGCAGGAGAATCACTTGAACCCAGGGGATGGAGTTTGCAGTGAGCTGAGATCACGCACTCCAGCCTGAGCAACAAGAGTGTAACACTCGCCGGGCGTGGTGGCTCACGCCTGTAATCCCAGCACTTTGGGAGGCCGAGGCGGGCGGATCACAAGGTCAAGAGATCGAGACCATCCTGGCCAACATGGTGAAACCCTGTCTTTACTAAAAAATACAAAAATTAGCTGGGTGTGGTGGTCACACACCTGTAGTCCCAGCTACTCAGGAGACTGAGGCAGAAGAATTGCTTGAACCCAGGAGGCGGAGATTGCAGTGAGCTGAGATTGCGCCACTGCACTCCAGCCTGGCTCCTGGCGACAGAGCAAAACTCTGTCTCAAAAAAAAAAAACAAACGTTTAAAAAAGAGCAAAACACTATCTAAAAAAAAAAAAAAGGTATGTTGAGTTTTCAGGTTAGCAGAGTGAATTTTTTTTTTTCTTTGAGACAAGGTCTTGCTCTGTCACCCAGGCTGGAGCCACAGGATATATGAGCATATTATATATATATATATATATTTTTTTTTTTTTTTTAGAGACAGAGTTTCCGCTCTTGTTGCTCAGGCTCGAGTGCAATGGTGCAATCTCAGCTCACCGCAACCTCCGCCTCCCGGGTTCAAACAAGTCTCCTGCCTCAGCCTCCCTAGCAGCTGGGATTACAGGCATGCACCACCACGCCCGGCTAATTTTGCATTTTAAGTAGAGATGGGGTGTCTCCATGTTGGTAAGAGGGTTCTCCATGTTGCTTAGGCTGGTCTCGAACTCCCGACCTCAGGTGATTTACCTTCCTCGGCCTCCCAAAGTGCTGGGATCACAGGCATGAGCTACCACGCCATGAAAAAATATATTTGTAATATTTACACAATATGTAATATAAAAATACCATATATATTCCATATAAATTTCTATATGGAATTCTATAAATTTTATATATAATATATATATTATATATATATATAAAATGTATCTACTGCTTACTTAGCTCTGCAAGGTACACTTCTTGGCCCTTTCCCGTAGCTCCAACACATTGTCCCAAATCTTCAAGGTCCTTCAATATTGTTATTAGAGTCTGAGTGAGGTGGCTCACGCCTGTAATCCCAGCACTTTGGGAGGCTGAAGCAATGGATCACAAAGTCATAAGTTCAAGACCACCCTGGCCAACAAGGTGAAACCACGTCTCTACTAAAGACACACAAAAAATTGGCCGAGCATGGTGGTGCACACCTGTAATCCCAGCTACTTGGAGAGCTGAGACAGGAGAATCTCTTGAACCCGGGAGGCGGAAGTTGCAGTGAGCCGAGATTGCATCACTGCTCTCCAGCCTGAGCAACAGAGCAAGACTCTGTCTCAAAAATAAAATAAAATAAAAATATATGTATTTATTAGAGGGCTATAAGGAAGTGGCTGTTAAACACATAGGCTTTGAAGTTAGAATTCCAAACCATCCGCAAATGTATGCTCTCAGTGAACATCCTTTATCTGTACGATGGAAATCAAAACTGTGTCTATTTGATAATGTCTTGAGGAGTAAATGAAGCAATGCATATAAACTGTTTAGTCCAGACCGTTCTGTAAATACATATTGAATAATTTATTCTTATTTTGCCTAGTATATAGTATGCCAAAGTACGAGATTACGGTGGGTTTTTCCCGTCTCCCTGTGCTGCCTAGGCTAGCCTCGAACTGCTCCGCTCAAGAGATCCTCAGTCTCCCTGAGTAGCTGGGACTACCGGCAGGCGCCACCCTGGCTTTGATGAAGGCCGTTTTGTTGTTGTTATTCCCCTGCTCCCCACGAGGGGCGCTGCCGCTCCGAAGCTGCCAGGGCGGGAGTCAGGAAGGCGGAAGTCTCTCTAGCCACGGCCACCGCCATCATGAAATACAGGCTCACCTCACCCTGCAGGTGTAGCCGCTTCGTACGGTCGCGTAAGCAGACCCGCTCGCAGCGACAACCATCCCTCCCATTCTTTTCGCTCCCTCTTAAGTAATAAACCGTCTTTCCCTAGGACGAGTCTTAAATTCTTTGGAAGCAATAATGGCGACGTCTTCCGGGAGCCAACCTCATCCCGTGACCTCAGAGGCATACTTCCGGGACACGGAAGTGACCCGTTGCTCCGCCCTTTTCCACTCTCTCTTTCCGGTGTGGAGTCCGGAGACAACGTGCAGGTAGGAGGCCCGGACGCGGACCATCGGGGGGCATCCTTCGGCAAGGGGGCTCTGTGGGGCTGGAGACGCGAGACTGGGGTCTTTCGGTGGGAACCGAGTTAGGTGCCGGGCAAGACGCGCGGCTGGCCCACTTGGACGCTAGCCAACTCGGGATCGAGTTCGCGCCTGGTCTCGGAAGGCGGCAGTCTTGCTTAAGGGAGGAGCTGGCGAAGTAAGGCTGAATGCGGGTTCAGCCTTTTAAGGCCTCGGCCCCGCAGTATGACCGCGGCCGCGCTTGAGCGGCACAGCGTAGCAGAGGGAACCCGGGACAGATGTGGGCTCCCGCCTCTACCTCACCAGCCTTTTTCGTGGAGATCGCAGGCCCGCGCCTAATCTCCTTTGTTTCCTTGTCTGCAAAATAGGAATAACAGCACCGATTCCGTGGGTTTGTAGTGATCGTTCAAGGAAGGAAAGCAGGGAATACTCGGCTTGTGTAGGATGCTTCTAAATCTGGGCGATTCTTTCCGTTGCTGAGTTGGGCACGTTGCAAAGTTCGGGGCGCTCAGGGCCCAGCACCGATGTTTGCTGTGTCCTTGCCCTGCGTTTATATACCCCCAGTGGCCACTTTGCTCATTACTTTAGGGGATGTTAGGAACGGAGAAACTGCAAATTGGCATTTACTGAATGGCCACCATGCCGAAACATACTCAGTGCTTACATAGTTAGGATCTGATGGAGCCTCTTTGTGCTTCTCCAGGCAGAACTTGCGGCTTCTCTCCTGTGGCGCCTTGCTTACAATAGTTAACGCACTGCGTCGTGTTCATTAGTCTGATTTTGAAGATCGGAACAGTTAACTTCGTACATCCCAGTCTTGAAGTACTTAGTGTGGTCACACACTAACTAAAGGTTATATAGGGAAGGCACAGGAGAGATCCAGAACACCTGGGACAGACTTTTCTGGGTCTGAGGTAGTTGTTTGTGGAGTAGGACGTCATGGCAGGAGGCAGGCAGTGCTGGACGGGGAGTCAGAACACTTCGTTTCTAGGTTTGGTTTTGCCACTGTCGTTATTATGACCATAGGCTGAGACACTCACCATCTGCAGGGATACCGTGTTAGCTTTTAGTGTCTTCTGAAAATGTTACATTGTTCAGAAGGCCTGGGGCTTTAGATAGGAAGCAGTCTTCTCCTAGCCTTCCACATTCTCATTCATTCTCACCTGCCTTCCTCCTGTCAGTTTCTTCCTCCCTTAGATCCTGTGACACCTCCCTTAGATCCTGTGACAGTGCGATTGCACTTAGAAGGCCGTATAACAGGTTAGAGTTATTTGGTCCAAGAGACACATCAGATTTCTGGGCTGGGTCTTTTCCATGAGCCTGACTTTTGGATGTGTTTTAGTGCCTTTAATACTTGATGCTGGTGAAAGATTTCGTTCTAAGTAGTTGTGGGTGTCAGATCAATTGCATTTTTGGCTTTTGAAGGGATCAGGTGGAGCATGGGAAAACAGGAGATGAGACTTGAGGGCTGTGTTGGTACTAACCCTAGGAATTCATTCAGGAGTCAGGCAGGTCCCCGCCCCATAAAGGGTCTTTGGGATGGTGTTGCCAGTACATGGGTAGGTATTGGTCTTGGGTTTCTTCTTTCCTTTTGGGATGTAGTCTTCAGGCATCTGCTGCTAGAACCCTAGGCTTCTATCCTATAGAAGAAGGATAGAAGTGAGCTGCGCTTTTGGAGTTTCTGGGGGAAAGAATACTTCTCGTGGCGCTTGGCTATATGACCACAGTTGACAACCCCCCCCCCATCCCCATCAAGTGCAAGGAGAAAGAAGTTTTAGTGAGGCATAGGTGAGAGAATATAGCAGAGTCCTGGATGGAAGGAGACAGGGACATGAAGAAGCAAGACTTAGGGTTTCCTTTCATAGCCAGGGGAGAGGGATTCTGGAAATGTGTTGTCTGTTAACTTTGAGTTTCTTTTCCTTCCATTCAGAAATGGCACCTCGAAAGGGGAAGGAAAAGAAGGAAGAACAGGTCATCAGCCTTGGACCTCAGGTGGCTGAAGGAGAGAATGTATTTGGTGTCTGCCATATCTTTGCATCCTTTAATGACACTTTTGTCCATGTCACTGATCTTTCCGGCAAGTGAGTACCTGGGCGGAGAGGCACAAAACCCCGCTGGCAAAAGGCTGAGGAAAGCAATGACTGGGACAGGCTAGCAATACAGGGGGTTCTTTCTAAAGAAACTGTTTCGTCCAGAAAAGAAAGTGTGCTTGTCCATTTAGCCCACAAATAATTGTGATTCCCAGGGGTTACAAGAGAGGCAACACATTCTTTGTCCTTACAGTGTGATGGTCTTTGGCTTCTTGGGAGTTCTCTTCTTTCCTTAGTTCCCTTTGTAGGAGCAGCAGTGGACTGCAGGTGAGCTCTGGGTATGGATTCGACTGCCATTAGCAAGTTGTGACTTGTGTGAAGTCACTCAAATTCTGAGTTTTGGCTTCCTCATATGTAAAATGAGGACAGTAGTGCCTACCTCATGGAGTAATTGTGAGGATTAAATGCAAAAGTAAATATATAAAATGTTAATACTAGGTTTAGCTAAATTGGGCCTTTCAACCCCACCAGACTGAGCTCCATGAGGGCAGTGCCCATGACCGTCGTCTTCCGCCATGACCGATCTGTGGTGCTCTTCACTCATTAGGACATTGTAAGCACTTCTTGTTGGACAAGGGAAAATGACCCTGTGCTTTTGTCCCCAGAGAAACCATCTGCCGTGTGACCGGCGGGATGAAGGTGAAGGCAGACCGAGATGAATCCTCGCCGTATGCTGCTATGTTGGCTGCCCAGGATGTGGCCCAGAGGTGCAAGGAGCTGGGTATCACTGCCCTACACATCAAACTCCGGGCCACAGGAGGAAATAGGTACGAGTGTGTGCGGGAGCTATGGCTGGGTGGTAAAAACAAAAAAAACTACTGGGCTTGGGCGCTGGAGCACTTGGCTGAGGCTTTGGTTTTTTTGTTGTGACCTTGAACAAGATATTTTAGGCACGTACGTATTTAACATTTGGCTCCTGTGGGCACCCCCCAGCAGCTCAGTGTTGAGCACCCCCTCTATACCAGGAGCTGTGTTTTAGGTACTAGAAGAGAGTGATGGGAAACATAGACATGGTCTCTACCCTCCTTGTATGGGACCTAGGTTGGTGGGAGAGTCAGACTTTAAACCACAGAGCACCAGGGAGTATGTGGTTTTCATTTGTGACAAAGGAAGCACAAGTAGGGAGTTGGTGATAAAGTGTAATTTAAACTAAACGATGAGTCTGGAGTCCTTCCACTGAAGGAAGGACAAGAGGAGGGGATTCCAGCTAGAGACAACTACAAGGAAAGGTCTCGAGGTAGGGGTGAACTTGGGCACCTGTGAAGGAAAAAGTGGCATGAGGTGTAATAGAGAAGGGAAGGGGTGGAGTCCTGTAGGAGGGGTAAGGACGTGGGCTTGAGTGCTGGGGGCATAAAAGCTAGAATAGATGACTATTAGGTAGACAGGCCAGACAGTGGTCAGAATGTAGCAACAAAAACCATAGCGGCACCTCCACCTAAAATATCTACTGTCTGGCTTTTTTGGGGGGGGTGGGGGGAGACAGGGTCATACTCTCACAGGCTGGAGTGTAGTGGTGCCATCTCAGCTTATTGCAGTCTCTGCCGATAGAGCTCAAGCAGTGCTCCCACCTCAGCCTCCCAAGTAGCTGGGACTACTAGTAGTAGTGCCACCACACCTGGCTAAATTGTGTATTTTTGTAGAGATGGGGTTCTGCCATGTTGCCCAGGCTGGTCTTGAACTCCTGAGCTCAAGCAGTCCGCCCTGCCTTGGCCTGCCAAGGTGCTAGGATTACAGGTGTGAACCACCCTGCCCAGCCCTGTCTGAGTCTACAGAAAGTTTGCAGACCTCTGAACTATCAGGATTTTGGGATCTTAGAAAGGAGATCTTCCATTGACTTGGCCAAAGACTTTTCTTAACTTAAACCTTCATTTTCTAGGACCAAGACCCCTGGACCTGGAGCCCAGTCGGCCCTCAGAGCCCTTGCCCGCTCGGGTATGAAGATCGGGCGGATTGGTAAGTGACCCCTCTAGCTAACACTTGGATTTATTGTGAAGCACTGGCCCCAGAGAGCACGTGATGTGCCCAGTGGATGCGCAGTGGCTGGTCTGGTCACTTTTGTCAGTTAAGTTTGGTAAGGAAGCCTGAAAGAGGCACCTCATGACTTAAAACCTCCCTGAATGTCTGTGTCACCTTGATGTGAATATCCTGTTTCATTTGTGAATCTCTGCCCTACACTGCCTGGTGCAGGTGAAACTGACAAGTTTCTCCATTCTTGAGGGCATTGCTATTAGCATTTTGTGTGTACCATCTCCTGCGTTGTAGGTTGTTGAGCATTTTTTGTTTCTGCCTACTAAATATCAGTAGGGGTTGCCAGTCCTGTAACAACCAAAAATGAAGTGGGGGGTACCAGCTTCCATTATTAGTACTCAACGCTTGTGATGTCCTGGCTCCTTACAGCTCCCAGGAAGAAGACATTAGTTCTTCTCTGCACATTGTTTCTGTGCAGTTAGTAGCAGTGTACACTGACATCTTTGGCCAAAGTTCCTACTGTGTCCTACCTGAAAGATTTTTTTTTCTTGAGATAGGGTCTTGCTCTGTTGTGTGGGCTGGAGTTCAGTGGCACAATCTCAGCTCAATGTAAATTTCACCTCCTGGGTGGATCTGTCCAAGGGATCTTCCCACCTCAACCTCCCAAGTAGCTGGGACTGCAGGTGTGTGCCACCATGCCTGGCTTTTTTTTTTTTTTTT